AATCAAAATATTACAAAAATTAAAAATGCGGATAAACTTCAAACCCCAAAACTTTCCACTGTAGCTGCTCTTTTGGGGGGGTGCTGTTCAAGGGAAATTTTATTATGCTTATCCCAATTTTATATACGAAAATTTTTTAGCAAAAAAGTGATTAATTGCTTAATAATAATAAATCCTTCCAGATGCAACAGGGCCTTAAATATTGTTTTGGTGTTTCAACAGGGCAAATAAAGAAGAAGCTTCTTAAAATCCCAATGTAAGGTTAAAAACCATCATTTGAAACATCATTAAAAGGGCTGACACGAATTAGGAGGGGCTGTAGTTCTGCTGTCGTAGGAAGATTGCTAACAGTTCATGTGTACAAGTGATCAGATGTCACATTGATTAAATCAATTGGCGCTAAGTATCTTTGTATGTAATTTATTGACAACAAGTAAAATGCTAACAGCAACCTGGTCAGCTTTTAGTTAGTTCCTCTCTACAGTGAACTTCACATCAACAATTTCATTTTCTGATTGTGTTTTAACTTTGTCTTTATTAACAGGGGCACCACTTCAACAAGTAGCCGTTGACCCCGGTAAGTGCTTCATTATATTTTACTCTATTTAAGTTAGAAATTGGATTACTAAAGTTTTGAGTGTTTTTGTACCATTGATATTTAATTCATCAATATGTCCTCACCAAAGTCTTCTGACCAGATTTCAGATGGATCTGGTAAATCTCATAGGAGCACTACATGAAAGTGTAAAACATATTTGCTAGTAGGGGGCACTATGAGTAAAACATTGGTATGAAGATGTGTTCAACTCTTATCAGAGGTTTGGTGCAGATTGGACAACGTGCACTAAAGTTACATCAACTAACTGTTTCATAGTGAAACATACAAATTTGTAAAAAAATTTCTGCAACACAACAAGCACCATTTCATGTGTTTCTGAGCAGTTTGCAGTCGCCAAAAATATAATAATCTGGAATATTAATTACTTCAGATACAACAGGGTCTTGCTCGTGCCCTAATTTACTTTAAAAATAGTAGATATTAAAATTAATATTGTGTCTGTGTGTCACAGCGAAAGGGCCTCCCGCTGATCACAAAGGTAAGTGTTAAACGTCATGAACATCATTAAAGCTGACACTGAAGTTAGGAGGTGCTGTAGTTCTGCTGTCGTAGGAAGATTGCTAACAGTTCATGTGTACAAGTGATCAGATGTCACATTGATTA